CCTTAACCCCTAAACCGCCCTAAACCCCTAAACCCCTAAACCCTTAAACCCCTGTCTAAAGCTTAGGCTTCGACCCCAAAGCTTCGACCCCTGGGACCAAGGACCCAAATATCCGGGGCCTTGTCATCTCCATGGGACCCCTTTAACAAGATCTCGTAACCCTACACCGCCAGAGTCCCCGAATTAAAACCAAAAAAGCAAGTCCTGTCCAAGGAGGCATCGACCTTCACAAGCTGCTGGACATGAGCAACCAGGATCCAGGGTTGGGTGCCCAACATCCAGAATAGACGACGAAAGCCATGTGGTTCACGAGTGTGCACGGTGGGGAAGGGGCCGTGACTAGTTTGTCAGGTTGACAGGCTTGTCCCGAGCCGCCAGACCAGGCTGTTGTTGTGATCTGATTCTTCGTCTTTGCGGCTCGATTCATCCCATCAGGCGACTTGTGTGCCGATGTTTTAGACAGAGTTGTACATGTCACCGTCGCAAGCTGCTGACACCGATGTCGGTGGACACGGAGATTCAGATCAGTGTCGATGATGATTGGGTTCCTGACGAACGTGCTGTTGAGCATGACGACAGGGACCATGAAGCCAAAGACACTTCGCAAGCAGATGCGTCGGATGCAGATTTTGGGCAGACCGAGATGATGCAGAATGCCGTGGCTGACTTCATTAGCCAGCTCAAGCTCACAAGTTCCGACATGTTGCGGACGACGGCGGCACATCGAGCACTGTGGCGCTTTGGGCGGCCGCTGCGCGATGGGCGATATTCCCGGCAGCTCTATGAATGGAGCGGGGTGACAGAGCGTGTCGCGCAGTTTTGGAGCCACTCTTGGCATGGATCGGTTGTGGCTAAAGTGCTGTTGCTGCTGGTCATGTACAATGGCTTGCCGGCTGTTTTGGTCGGGAGCGCAGCCGTGGCAATCACATTGCTACTGCAGCATGCATGTTTGCTTCCATGCAGCATCGAACGGAACGGACAATCAGCCATGGCTGTTGGTGTCGGTTTGCTGGCCAGTTCTTTGACCTTCGTCCTTTGGCGGTCCGGAAAGCAGGTCTTTTTGGACATTATTTGCATCCACCAGACAGATCAGAAGTTGAAAATGATGGGTCTGCTGAATGTCGGAGCAGTGTTGAAGAAATCAGATTCCCTGCTCGTTTGCTTAGATGATACCTATATCACAAGGCTTTGGTGCGTTCTAGAAATGGGGGCATTTCTGAAAAGTAATGGCCAGGAAGGGATCAACATCAAACCCACCATCTGGGGTGTCAGTATCGTTATCCTATTCTTGTCAGCAAGCGGCATCATGCTCGGTGCATCGGTGGTGGGTGCCATTCTCAGGCAGTCGGCTGGCGTGACAACTATTCTCGGTGATGGACAGCGGTTGGGCTTCTTGCTTTGGGCGATACTCGGCAGCATAGCCGTGCCTGGTTCCGTGATCACCTTGTTATTGGTCAGCCGCTCCTTGCGTGCGCACTTCCGAGCAGTCGATCGCATTGTCAAACAGCTGGAAACGTTCTCCATCAAGGACGACACCGTCTCCCATTGCTGCACTGTGAACCACCTCGACCGCCACACCGGCGAGAAAATTCCATGCGATCGTGTGATTCTTGAAAAATGCCTGGTGTTGTGGTTCGGCTCGGTGCAAGCGTTCAACGAGTTCATTCAGAACGAGCTGTCAGAGATTTTCAAGAAGCTTACCACCAGCACTGTGCCCTACACTTGGATTGTTGCTGCCGGAAGCCCTCTCCTTTGGTTCTATGCCGGGACAGCAACTTATCATCTGCGGACAGAGAACTACAAATCAGCAGCGAGGATGGCATTCTACATTCCATCCTGGTGGTTGGCGATCGGTCCAACGTACCTCCAGCTTTTTGTGTGTCTCGTTCGTCGTGTTCGGCGACTGCGACCAAGTGCTTGCCAGGAGGTGCTGGTCAATCTCGGATGCTCCATTTGCGGCGGTTTCATTTACTTGGCCTTTGCCTTTTTTGAAGGTTTCTGGTATACCACATTTGGAACGGATGTGCCCTCGATGGCGGCATTTTCCTTGGTTGTGATGACGATCTGCGCTCTTATCCGGTCTGCATGCTGCATGCCATGCATGCCAATCCGCCGTGCAACATAACCTGGTCGATGATGTGAGGCCATCCAGAGAATAGCCGGCATGCACGCATCTTCCAGCACCGGGCAGATGGTTTTAAGCCTACTTCAGGGCATGAGAAACCAAGTGAACGGGCATGATGCTCAGGTTCAAGCAACGTTTCACCCAGCCCAAAGTTGTAAATTTCGGGTATTTCAGACCAAATGGTCGATGATGTTTTGGCTTTCGGCTTTATGATCAGCCGTACAGGATTGCCACAACATCCCGAAGCTCAGCAGCCCCTTCGATGTGCACCATGGCCAAATTCTGGCCGCATGCATGGCAAGGCAAATTCAAGGGCCTGCAAGCAGCTGCGTTGCAGTGAATCTGCAGATTTCCGGTCCCTGAACCCGAAACCTTGAAAATGCTCTCCAAGAGGACCTCATGGAGCTCTTCTGTGCACGGCAGCGACGAAAGTTCTCTCGCGGAATGAAGTGCAAGCACGGTGCCTCAGTCACCGGCGTGCTGTTGAGGGGTCCGAGTCTACGATTTGACTGAATCTAGGGTTTTTTCCCCACATCGTTGTGTGGGGTTCTTACTTTTTACTGCTTGATGTCTTCGCCTTTTCCTCCTCCTCCTCCTCTTCCTCCTTCCTCCTCCTCCTCCTCCTCTACTCCTTCCTCCATATCACGCTGACTCACACTCACACTACACTCACACTACACTATACTCACTGACTCATCACTCATCACTCACATCACTCACCAACACTCACTCACACTCATCATCACTCACTCATCACTCACGCACCACACTCACTCATAACTCACTCGCTCATCACACACACACACACACACTCACACTTACACGCGCACACACCCACACACCCACAAACGCACACGCACGCACAAGCACACGCGCGCACGCACGCACGCACGCACCCACTTGCGCACCCACCCACTTGCGCACCCACCCACCCACCCACCCACCCACCCACCCACCCACCCACCCACAAGTGTGCACACGGTATGCTTGCTCAATTAGAAATCGAGTTTTCGCGTCTTTTCAGAACCGTCGCCTCGTCACCGGCGATCCACTGCATGCTCACGTTGTACTTGTGCGGAGCCTCTACTAAGGTCAAGTCAGCGACGTCGGTCCCCGTCCGGCCTGGAGCCACCCTGTGAAAAGGAACGCTGCGCAGCTCCCGAGGCGTCAAGGCAGATGGAAAAAAGTGTCGAAGCGGCGTGTCTGACTCCAGACTCTTCCCGCCCAGGGCTGGTGCCCTTAGGTGTGCAATTGCAGCTTGATTCGCACGTGGCTCAAGATCCGAATTTACATCATCAGGATTCTGTCATGTACAGCTGAAGTTGTAAGGTCGCTTGGGTTGTTTCTGCTGGCGCAGCTGGGGGTAAGACTGGCCCTACGCAGAACCGTCGGATTCAATTCCACGAGTTTAGAGAGTCTGCAAGCAGCATGTTGCAAAAACAGACACACAGCAACTCAACGACCAAGCGGGCGTCTGTGTGCGCAACAATCAGCATTCCCACCTGCAATGCTTGGGTAGACGAGTGCACGCCAGACGTCCCTGCGTTGCAAGGGCGTTTGCCCTCTTTTGCACCTTTCTTTGCGTCCTGTCTGAATGCCTTCCGGGCGACTGCTATAGCCATGGTTGTGCCCGGAGAAATCGAGCACTCGCTGGACCAGTGCCTTGATCTCTTTTCGATACGGGCTCGCTTAAGGTGTAAGGTGTGGGCCAGAAGTTGAATACGTTTGAGGATCTGTCGTTTGTGGGTGAGCCCTGCCAGTCAATGTTGGAGCCCGATGCTGGGGCGAACCCATTCCGGTCTCCAAGCCGGCTTCGAAACCAGAGCACTTCTGAAGTTCTGTCTTGGACAGCCACAGAGACTTTTGGCCCAGGTGCTTGGAGGCCGGGGCCTTGGCACGAGTGTTCGCGAGAGGTAGTAACAGGTACAAGTAGTATGAGTCGCTTGACGAGTCGTTCCATGGGACTTATTGTAAACGCTTCGCATCGTCCGCCTCGGCCCGGTCGCCGGTGAACAGTAGTCTCCACATCAGGGCCCTATTAGCAGGTTCAGAGTGCACAAGACGGGGGACTCGGTGGCACTCGAAGCTGGGGGTGGGTGACCGAGGCGGGGGTTAAGAGGAGCGGTTCCCGGAAAGAAAGACGGAACCTCGGCGAGCTTTCTGCTGCTTCTAGGCAGGCACATGCCAAAGTAGATGGCAATAGCCCATGTTCAGAGAGCGACACAGTGCAACCATGACGGAGAGAGAGTCAGAGAACGCGAAGGCAAGCGACCTTTCATCCATGAAACAATCTACACCGTTCGAGGGACTCCTTTAGATGAAGTGGAGCGAAGCACCTCTGTGCTTGCACTGTTAACAGATACGTGGTGCGCTGCAACAGTTGGGGTGGCAAGAAGGACGTTTCACGTCGGGATTTTCGAAGTCTACCGGAGCCTGCGTCGAAGGAGAGTTAGCGTTGGAAGCCGTTTGGGAGACAGCAGCAGGTGCTCTGCATGAAGGCCCTAGTCATGATGTCCTGTTCATTAATGGCTGCACGCCCGGCGACTGCTATCCTCCGGTGACCTACAAACCTTGGAGGTTGTATCGCAGGAGCATCACAAGTTCCAGCTTCTGGACGAGAAACATACTCGAATGTTTCGTTACAATGCTTGGGCAGCACTGGATCCCCCGGAATCGACCCGGTTGCACGATGTGATACACAGCCTTGATTCTTATGCCGCAATCTTACACTTGCAGTGTAGTGGCGTCGTCCGACACCTGTGTTGGCCAAGGATTTGAAGCACCACTTCGCGTCTCTACGGCAGGAGATGGATGCCTTGAAGGACGGAATTCTTTCTCCGGAAGCTTTCCCCATAAAAAGCCCGGCTCAGCTTGATTCCCTTTGCCGGCCAACTGTCAGTGTCCTTGCCCAGCACTCGGCTCCCTTGGACTGTGGGCCCTGCCACCGCCTAGGGCCCAGCTCATCCTTGCGAAAGTGCGAAAGTGCCCATAGCTTGGCTGACACCCAACTTACCCTTAGTTCCCCAATACTCAACCTTTAAGGTTTTATTTCCCTGGCTTATTGGGGAAGTATAAGTACCTAGGTGCCCTTGTCAGATCCCCTCTTTCAGGCCGACAACGAGGCGCTGAAGCAGAGCATCCGGCCTCCGAAGGGGAAGGCATGGCAGTCGGAAGTCCTCCTTGGAAGATCCGCCCTCAACGGCCAAGCCCTGTTTTGGAAAGGGTGAGCAAATTGAAAGACCCACGGATACTCGGCTGGAAGCATGTTGGTGATTTCGGCTTGTCGGATGTGGCCTCTGCCTGACATGCTCTGGAAGCCAAAGAACCCAAGCACAAGCCTGCGTCCTCGATGCCTTAAGCTTAGCTGCTAAACCGCGCTGATCAGCAGCAGTCGCTTTACTTCATGGCTGTAGCACATAATCAAGCTGAGCTGTAGCAATGACAGAACAAGAAGAAGTATAGAAAGAGCAAAAATAATAATGTGGACTAACTGCAACATTTCAATGGTCGCAATAAAAGCAATCATAACAACAATGTGTGACACTTCCGAAGGCCAACGACACCAACAAGCTCGAGCAACTCGAGCTCGAAAACGAGGCTGCCGAGCGCATGCAAACTCAGTGCGTGGGACTTTGTTGTGTTTCTTCGGTCTCGTGTAAAGGAATTGTAGGCTCTGTGATTCGGGGTTTCGGTTGTCGGGTTTAGGGTTTCCGAACCGGCTTTCAAGATCCCAGAAGTGCGAATTCCAAGAGGTCAAGCTCTACATTGGTCTTTTTCACGGACTTCAGCTGTAGCTCCGTCGCTTTGCACCTCCAGCCATAGGCCGAGGGCCCCCTTAGCTTCGGACAGGTGCTGAGTGAGCAAATCAACGAGCTGAAGGCGGGAAGTTCCTACTGCTGCGGTTGTCTGGTGGTTAGGGTTTAGGGTTTAGGGTTGTCTGGTAATTGTCGTTCTGAGCTTATTCTGAGTAGCGTCAGTGTCTCGAATAGCATCTCCCTCGATGTAGCGTGTTATCCTTGTTGACTTGCTGGTATGNNAAACATGTACGCTGTCGTACCTGGTATATTGTACGGCTGCGGTTGCGCACGACTACCAGGACCTTGACATGTTGACATGTTTTTATCAAATCAAGCACCGTTGGAGGCTATGTAATTATTTGTAATCACATGCAAATGAGAGCCTCAGGAAAGAAGTGACGCTGACACCAGTTTTGACTACAGTTCAAGATCGTTGAGACAAGAAATGGGCCACGATGTGGGACCCCTGGTTTCAACTTAGCCCCCAATCCCTAAGCGTTCCTCAACCCTCAGCCCTCCAAAGATTCAGATCCACCTGCCAGAAGTCCACGCGAATCCTCTATCTATCTATCTATCTAGATAGA